GGATTTCTTCCCCAAGAAGTGTCACCTGAACCCCCCCAATGACCCACTCACATCCCAAAGTGCATTATGATTCCTTGGGGGCTCATTCAAAACCTCTTATAGTCACTAAATCACTAAAAATCCTCATTATTCTCAGGGGCATCAGAGCTGCCTTTCCTTAATTTATCAGGTTTGCTGGGAGCTCCTGTGCTTTCCCCACCCCTCTGCTGTGGGGTGTGAGGCCACTTGCGCAAATGGCTTTTAATTCTGGGAGCTCAGGATCAGCTGGCATGAGCCATGTCAGTGATTTCATTTCAGAACTGCACTGCAAGGTGGCATAAATCAAGGATAACTGATGCCCAGGTGGGTCAGGAGCCTTTGGATCAAGTGGGAGACTCAAACTGAAAAGCCCTCATGGCAAAGGAAACCTGGTTGGGTGAGCCCAGTGCCCCTAGTGAAGCCCAGATCAGGGCCCAGTGTAGCACAGAGGGAACACGTGGGGACACAGACCCTTCCCAGAGTGACACCTTCCACCCAGCTCCAGACAGGGCCACTGGGAAACTTCTGTCAATCATTAACCAGCATTTCCCAAGGCACTGCACAGGTCTCTGTGCTCACGTGCACCTTGCCTTGGCCTTGCTCTCCAGAGCACTTCAAAACATCAGATCAACCACACTGGGTGTAACTATAAAGTTACTATAAAGTGCCAGTGCTGGAGCCACGAGAGGCTTTACAGTCATGTACTATTTTTTTTTTCTCATTTGGCATGAAAAATGCAAAGAAAAAGACATCTTAGTGTCCCACATCAGCCACTCTGCACCTGCCCTTGGGGAACAGCCCTGTGCCAGCTCCCATCCCAGCAGGATGGCTGGGGACACTGGGGTCACTGGGGACACTGGGGCCAGGCCTGCCCAGCCACAGTGACCCTAACACTGTGTCCTTTGTTTTGAGATATTTGGTGTAAACGGGTCATGGAGTGACTAAAACAAACCCCCTCACCACAGGCAGTGCCCGCGTGGTCGGGTGAAACACTGGCTGAATGATTAACTCTGCTATTGTTACTGTAATCACACAATTTATTGACAGAGCTGCTCCAACCCCTCATTTCCCACAACCTGGACAATTCTGCTGTGTCAACATGTCTGGGAGAGAGGGGAACGGGGCCAAATCCAGAAGAGGGGGGGTGTATCTGTGTTTTTAAAGTGAGGGAGGAGACGGGGAGAAGACAAATAGTGACGTTGGGCACTTGGCACCCAGGGCCTGTTTGGTTTGGGTTTTCCACATGTGGATAAACTGATAGGAGCCACTGGGTGTCTGAATGTCTGATAGAGGGGCTGCACAGGACTCAGCCATGAATTCAGGCTGGGAGTGGGACTGGAGGTGTTGAAGATCTCAGGGTGGCAGGGACAGGCTCCAATCTTCCCCCAAGGTCAGGATGAGACAAAACCTTGCCCAAATGTGGGCAAAGGGTTTCCAGGCATGTTTTTGGTCTTTGTCCTTTGAGGTCTGTTCACATTCAGAGCCAGCAAATTGCAAACACATCAGGCAAAATCCAACTGACTCCAACCTGTCACATAAACCACAAAGTGTTGCATCTTCCCACTATAAAGTCACTCCAAATTGGGATGTGCACTTCCTTTCATCTCCAAGCCCCAGAGCCTTTAGAAATGCTGAATTTATTCTCCCTAATGGATGCATGTAAGAACTGTGGCTCCTCAGAGCAAACAGTCTGTGTGGGGAGGGGGGGCAAGGTCTGTCAAACCAGCATGTTTACAAAAAGTCATAATAACTGGGGCTTCTATCCCTGGCCACAATGTGTTATTAAAACAAAGCAGCCCAACATATAAATACATTGTCTTTAAAAAAATGCATTTGGGCGTATTTGACATATTTCATATTCAAAGCAGCTCTTTCATGTTGAGCTGTGCAGTGAAGGGGGGAGTTCAGTTCCTGCATCCCCTGTCAGTGTTGAGGCCACTCAGGCTGCTCTGTGCTTTATGACAAGCCCAGCTGAGCACAGGATTAATTCTCCTTTTGACTTCATCCCTGAAACATCTGAACTGCTCCGAGGGAAGCCAGAGCTGGTGGGAGCCGGCCAGAGGATGCCAGGGGCTGGGTCAGCCAGGGCTTGGAGCCGCAGGGAGCTGCACGTGGCCAGCCCAAAGTCCTGCTCTGTGGCTCCTCAGACATGCCCAGGACAAGATGCCAGTGTTCCATACTTTCAGAAGTAATGCTTGGGCTCGTTCTCTTCACTGTGTTGGCCTGAGGCCCTGGCACCCAGAGGGGCCCTTCCTAAAGCCCCACAAGCAGCTGAATGGAAAACTTCTCCTGTACTTCCCAGGAGGACAGAGACAAATGGAGCATGGGGTCATGGCAAAGGACACCCGGTGTGAGTTCAGCAGTTGGATGAGCACCCAGCACAGGCTCCATGGGGATGGCAGTGGGGATGGGAAGGGCTGAGCTGGCCCCTCAGGAAGCACCCACAGTGCCTGGGATGCAGTTGCTGGGATGCTGCTGCAGCCAGGACCAGCTGAGACTCTTCCCAGCACGCCCCGGCCAGTGCCCACCACAGTGCCCATGCTTCCAGCCAGGAACACTGGGACCATAAGAGCAGCAGCCAGTTAATTTATAACCTCTGTTCTCCACTGAAGTGTGGATTAACGATGCACAGGAAGGAGCTGGGGCTCAGCTGCCATTTCGGAGCAGGAATCTCTGGAGCATTAATGCCAGGCAGCTGCTTGGTGATTCCTGCCCCTCTAAACTGGTGGGGGATGTGGTCTCATTGTCCTTGCCAGCAGTTTTTGGAAAAGACCCCCCAGTCCCAAGGGTAATGGATCCCAGCAACCAGGGGAGTAATTGAAGGGTGGGTAAAAACTGCCCTGAGCAGGGTGTGAACCTGTAAAACACACTTTGTATAACACAGGGTTAGATGGGATATTGGGAAGGAATTCTGGGCTGTGAGGGTGGTGAGGCCCTGGCACAGGTTGCCCAGAGAAGCTGTGGCTGCCCCATCCCTGGAAGCATTCAAGGCCAGGTTGGACGGGGCTTGGAGCAACCTAGAAGGTGTCCCTGCCCATGGCAGGGGGAAAACTGGATGAACTTTAAGGTCTCTTCCAACCTAAACCAGTCTGGGATTCTCTGATATCCCACCAAAGCTCCAGAAACTCTGGGCAGAGACTCGTGCAGCTTGAAGGAGCTGTTTATCCTGACAGAGCACAATTCTGGGGAGCTTTCTGCTGTCTCTGGGCAACCAGACCTATCAGTTTTTGCTCTTCCTGCTGCTGTTCAAGATCAGAAAGATCTGCTGTTTGTGGTTCCATCTCTGTTTCACAGCATTCACGGCTCTCTTGCAGTCTGCTTTTTTGAAACATAGTTTCTGTGTTGCCTTTTTTTTTTTTTTTTTTTAAACGGAGATCAAATGAGTTGATAAAGGAAAGCTCAAATCCAGACCCCAAACCTCACTAGGGATTTTGTCCTTTTCTTTTGGGTAGGTGGCCTTTTAAATTCCAAACATCTTTCAATACAGGAAAACCATTTCCCTTTCACTTTAAGAAGAAACCCTGAGATTAACTCAGTTGGTTGGAGCCTGGTGCTGATAACACCAAGGTTGTGGGTTTGATCCCTGTATAGGCCATTCACTTAAGAGTTGGACTTGATGACCCTTGTGGGTTGCTTCTAACCCAGAATATTCTGTGAATTCCTGCTGTACCTCTGAGCACTGTTCACCTCCCTTATCCTCCCCCCTGCAGCAAACACAGCCAGTCCTCACTTACGTGCAAGATTTGGCCTCCTTTACAGGCTTGTTTGTCAAATAAACATCTTGGGCCAAGCCTTTAGTGCAGCAGGTGCTTAGTGTGGAGGTGAAGGGTGGCCCCTGAAAGGAGGAAGCTGAAGACAAGGGACAAGGGCAGCAGACATCCCAGGGGACACCCCGTGGGACCCCCCATTTCCAGCTCTGGTGGTGGCAGGACCCACCTTGGCAGGGCTTGGGGAGCACTGGGGCAGCTGGGCCAGTGCTGGGCACCGACTGCTGGGCATTGAAATGAGGGAAAACTGCATCCAGTCACCAGCTGTTCTTCCTCCCAAGGTCATTTAAGAAAGGGCAATGTAAGAAAGAAGCCATTAGAGAATGTCCAAAGGAGGGCAACGGAGATGGGGAAGGGCCCTGAGGGGAAGCCGTGTGAGGAACAGCTGAGGGCACTTGGGCTGTTCAGCTGGAGGAGACTGAGGGGAGACCTCATTGCAGTTACAACTTCCTTGGGAGGGGAAGAGGAGGGGGCAGGCACTGATCTCTGCTCTGTGGGGACCAGGGACCTGAGGGAATGACCTCAAGTTGTGTCAGGGGAGATTTAGGTTGGATATTAGGAAAAGGTTCTTCCCCCAGAGTGTGGTTGGGCACTGAACAGGCTCCCCAGGGCAGTGGTCACAGCACCAAGGCTGCCAGAGCTTAAGGAATGTTTAGATGGTCCTCTGGGGCACCTTGTGTGACTCTTGGGGATGGGCCTGTGTAGGGCTGAGGGTTGGACTTGATGATCCTCATGGTCCAACTCGGCATATTCTGTGACTCTGTGATCTAACTGGGAGAAATACCCAGTGACCTTCCCCTGGCTGGACCAGCCCCAGTTCTGCTGGGCTGGGCTGGGTTTGCCCATCCCAGCGATGCTACAGAGTCACTGCTCTCCTGTGTAAATCTGCTCAAAAAGTTTGTGTTAAAGCTACAAAATGTAAAAGAAAAAAAGGAAAATAACATGAATAATGCAGTAAAAATGTGGGAATAGCCTTGGCCAGAGAGGCTGCGGGTCTGGGTTTGGGATTTGCAGGTGCAGGGTCCCGATCCCAAGTCTATCCCCAGCACTTGGGATACCTGAGCTGGGAACTGCCTTCAGCAGTATCAGCCTTCCCTGGCAGCACAGCGGGTTCCACCAGGCACTGCCTGGAAGAGTGGGCAGATAAAATCTGTTCCGGGCACACTCTATCAGCAGGTGCTGCTCCTGCAGAAACCCAGGAAACCAGGAGATTATTCAGATTTTTTATTCTGACTGATACAACACACATGGATTTGGTACACAAACAAGTGGGTTGAAGACAAACCATGACCTCCAAGTGGCTTTTCCGTGCCCTCCAGGTCCCATAACACCTTTGACAGAGGTACAACACATTGAGACCAGGTGGGAAAGGCATCGCTAGAGAAATGTGACACAAACACCTTCCCACTCCAAGCATATGGGAATAAAAGCTTCCACTTACAATCTGGCTCTTCAAATCCATTTTTGAAAGTGCATTTCTCCTGCCACATCCCATCAGGCAGCTGTGGCTGTAGAAAAGTGCTCCCACTCCTCCCCCTCTGTAAACGAATGGAAAGCAGACATTTCTTCCCATTTTGATATTTAAAGTAGCTTCTTCATATTACTGAACCCACAGATGGACACAAAGGCCTTTTTCCAAATGTATTGTGAATATTTTACTAAAAAAAGTGTAATTTTAAGTGACCTGAAGTGAAACCACCCCTGACTTTCGAAACCAGCAGCTGTAAAACTGGTGGAGGGCCCTTCTCAATGTCACATTAGAGCTGCTCTCCCAGTGCCCCATACGGGATCAGCGGTGTTCAGGAGACACAACACCTCCTGCTCTTAAAAGGAGCTGAGAAATGGGGATGGATTCCCTCATCCTTGCAGCACTTGTCCCTCTGTATCCCACACGTGATCCCAGATAATCTGTACGCTCTGGAAGCGCTGCTGCTTGGAGCCAGCCCAGCCTGATCCAGGCAGTTGAGGTCATCCCGACATACCTCCCAAGTGACCGGTTATGTTTATTTCTTTCCCAAAGCTAATGTACACAGAGGGAACAATACAGATCCTCTGCACAGAGCAGGCTTTTTACAGTCCCAAATAATTAAAACCCCAAAGGCTCTGAAGAGGCACTTCTTCAAGGAGAATTTTATCCACCACGTTCCCCAAAGCACCAACCAAGGTGCAGGTATCTGTAGTTGTTACACTCAGGAGTAGCTCAGCACAGAGCAGGGTCCTGTGGGTCAACTCATACTGAAAAAGGCATTTATTCCATTCAGTTTACGCTGGTTCTTAAATTAAAGCTAGCCCTTAGCTTTTAGCTGCACTCAGATGTCACCTGGATAAAACGAGATTTGTCTGGACAGGAATCAGACCACGTGGCAGCAGAACAAAAGTGAGTGGACGGATTCTTTTTTGAGGAGTTGCATTTCTAAACAAAGGAGGAAAAGTAAAAAAGTTTCTGTGCAAGAAATCCTCCCAGATGCAGGACTACATTTGCCTGGAAGGCCCCTGAATTCCATAGTACCTGGCACATGATATAACATATTTTATTGTATTTGCATTTAATATCATCCAAAGGCCAGGAGAGAGGAGACATTAGAGACTGTAAGCTACAAAAGGGTCAAGAAAATGAGTTAAAAATCTAGCTTATTTAAAAATAAGCATCAGATGTGACCCCAAATGGATTAGAGCTGAGTTTTTAAATAAAACCTGAAAAGTTACTTCGGGGACAGACCTGACTAATTCACACACTCCTAGTGTGCTTGTGTTAAAAAATTCCCAAAGCTGCCACAGCTCTCCAATTTATCTCTTTGGGGGAAAGAAGAAATAAACCATTTGAGGTGCTGGTTTGGCCCCTTTGAAGTACATTTCAGGAATGAAGGAGCTTTTCAGCGGCATCCCTGTTACTTACAAACCATTTGCTGCTCATTTTACTCCTGGCCATGTGCATTTCCCAATAAAGCAGCTCATATGGAAACAGTGGTTTTGGCTCTGTGAACCTTTGCCATTAATCTACTGGGAGAAGGGCATGGACTGTTTTTACAGGCTGTTTATCACCCTCTCCCATCTGCTTCCAGCAGCTTTACAGTGTGCTGTGCAAACAGCAATTCCCACTGGCCCTGGGTATTCCACAGGCTGCTAATAAAAAAAAAGTCATGGATTTCTCCCTACATCCTCCTCAGCAGATGAGCTCCCTTCAGGTTCCACATGAGTGAGTATTTATCAGGACGAATCCATGTGTCAGAAGACTCGTGTTACCTTCAGTTCTCGGAAGAGATGGATGTACCATCACTGGCATAACACAACCTGCTCAGTTCTAAGCCACTGAAATACAATCAAGTCTCCTAATTTTGTTTTCCTTTATTTCCCATGTTTTTTGCCTTTTTCCCCTTGTCCCTCCAGAAAAAAAGGAGGAAGAAGTACTCTCTGAAGTAGATAATTTCAGTATTAAAATATACACAGGAGTGTGTCCCTTCAGTAATTCCATCTGTTGAATCTGTTCTCTGACAGAAAATACATTTTTTCTACCTTAATAACAGAAAATTCCCTTCAGGCTCTGTTTTAGGCACACAAAACACCATGTTATGCAGCTCAGTTGTGAGCGGCAATAAGGACAGGCTGTCCTGCTGTGTCTGAGCAGTTTTGGCACACTGGATAAATAATTTGGCACTGAAGTCCACCAGTAACACCAATTTCAGCCATTCAGGGGATGAGAACATGGAACAGACGCCCCGATTCACAGTAAGGTTTCCAAGTACCCACTGGAACAACAGTTCCCAAGAGCTCTCTCAGGCTGTTGTCCGTCGGATCTCCTCCGACAAGGTGATTGACCTCTCCTTGCACTCGGTGTTGGAGCACTTGGACACAGCATTGGCCGCCTGGCAGAACTTCTGGAGGAGGATCTTCCTGAGTAGCAGGTACACCCAGGGGTCCAGGATCTGGTTGAGTGAGGCCAGGCGTACAGCCGTCAGGAAGAAATTGCATTCGCGGTGCAGTTCAGAGCCCGGGGCCTCCCCGGGGACGCCCTTGCAGTGCTCAAAGGTGCGGCCCCAGATCATCTTCAGCATTGTGATCTGAGGGAAGCGAGGAGGGAAAAGGGACAGACGGTGAGGGAATGTTGTCTGTGTACCACCAGATCTCATGGTGCCCAGAGAGGCTGTGGACTCTCCATCTCTGGAAGTGTTCAAGATGAGGCTGGATAGGACTGGGAGCAACCTGGTCTAGTGAAAGGTGTCACTGCCCATGGCAAGGGGTGGGATGCACTTTAGGGTCCCTCCCAACCCAAACCAGTCTCTGATTCTATGACAGGGATACTGAACACTCCACTTTTCCTGGCAGGTCCTTTTGTTGGTTGCAAGTCTTTCCTGGGTATGGCTTGGAGACCCAAACCCTGAGTGTGCTGCCTGAAACCCTGTGGATGGACAGGCAGCAGCTCTGCCCATGGTGCTGTGTCTGCTTGGAATGCTAAGGAGCTGGAAACCCCCAGCATGGCCCCGAGACACCTCCACTGCACTGTCTGGGCAGAGCTCAGCACTCCCATCCTCTGAATGAACTGGCCAGTCCTGAAAAACCCCAGAACAGCCCGGGGACAGACTCACAGGCCATCACTCACAGCCCTGTCCAACTCCTTGGCTTCAGTCTTTGGAAAGAACCAAGACACACTGAAGCAGTGGCAACACAAGGGGAGTGATCCCACCACGTCTTTCCCACAGAAAGCCTCTTGGGAGCAGTGTCAGCACAAAGGTCACATCTGGGCTGCTGCTGTCCCCACAAGCTGGGACAGCCAGAGCCAGAGTGACCAGGAACAGAGGCTACAGGGGAGGATTTTTCCATTCAGCAGGATATTCTGGGTGCCAGATCAATAACCATTTCTTGACCTTGGAAAGACTTGGATGAGCAGGGCAGCATGGACAGCAAAGGAGAACTGCTTCTCTTTCTTTAAATAGAAGCTGTTGAGGATTCCATTCACTATATTTCATTTACTTAAGAAACCATGGATAGATCCAGATCCAGGCCACATCAAGCAGCCACTTGTGCACCACATCTATACAGCCACAACCCCACCACTTCCTCAGCCACCTCCGGCTATTCAGGACACTGTCCCTATTCCTGTCACAGCATCTGCCTCCCATGCCCGCCCATCCAGCACATCACAGCTCCTGCAGCATTCCCATGCTGTAAGGAGCAGCAGTGTGATGGAAACATGCTGTGCCCACGTCACAGCCAAAGGGAACCACCCCACACTCAGCATTCCCAGGATTCACATTACTTTCTCTCAGATCAGCTCGTCCTCTGGGAACCCTGCAAGGACCCTTGTTCTGCAGACCATGTTGTCTTTTCTTTGGTTGGTGAACCCAAGGAGCTACAAAAACATCAGGCTATAAAATACATTTCCCAAGCAGACAACCACTGCTTATTTTTGGGGCTATTACATAATATTCCTTTACTGGAATATTTGTTGGACCAACAATTGCTCCTCTGGAAATTTTATTTGTTTGATATCATTAGAGGTTGTTTATTTTATCATGACCTGTATTGGTCTTCCAAATGAATTAAAAGAAGGACTGCACAAGGCAGAGGAACAACACCGGGTAGAATAAAGGCAATGGAACTATGTAATTTATGCCAATAAAAAAAATCGGCTCAAAATGCATACAGTAATATAGTTGATAATTGTATTTATTCAACTAGAGTACCTCAACTTTACTGTTACCATGACTGTGGTTTTATATGTCTTTAATTTCTGTCTGCCAGGAAGCTTAAGGAGTAGAAGTATTCTGACAGGAAATGCAGTAGAATTCCTGAGCATTTTGGCTTTAAATGACCTTGAAACAATTCTGAGAGTGAACAATTTTGTAGCCTGGAGCTCCAAGAGAGTTAAGAGAATTCCAGTTTGTGCTGCACAGGCGTTTCTGTGTAATCATGGAACAGCTTTCTCTACTTCCCCTTAAGAGTTATTTGCCTGCTGCCAATCCAGCTCAGTGGTTATACCAGAATCCCAGACTGAGTTGGGTTGGAGGCACCGCAAAGCTCCTCTTGTTCCACCCCCTACCATGGGCAGGGACACCTTTCGCTATCCCAGGTTGCCCCAAGCCCCGGCCAACCTGCCCTTGGACACTTGCAGGGATGGGGCAGTCACAGCTTCTCTGGGCAACCTGTGCCAGGGCCTCACCAACCTCACAGGGAAGGATTTCTTCCCAATATCCCATCTAACCCTGCCCTTTGGCAGTGGGAAGCTATTCCCTTGTCCTGACAGTACATGCTCCAAAATAAGCAGAAGATCAGAGTGAACTGGAAACCATTTAGGATAGAAACAAGATCTTAGAGGAGTGGGGTGTTTTTCCAGGTTCTCGATGCTGAATTCACCCAGATCGTGTGAGCGCACAGAAAAAGGAGACAATGCCTGCGCTGCCTGTCTCCTCCCTTCTGCCCAAACCAGCACAGAGCCAGAAGGGGCTCTGTGGAGCCCTTCAGAGCACAGCCACGACTGCCATAATTCTCACTCTGCAGCTAAATCACATTTGAGTTTGTTGTTTACACCAACAGATCAAGTCTAAAAATACTGTCTGTGTACAAGGGCATTGTTTTCCTAACAGCAACAGCTGTCAGAATCTGTTAGTTCTCAGCTACAAAACTTAGATGTCTCTAAAAAAAAAAAAAAACCACAGAGAACTCTGTAAATCCCTGGTTTTCTATTTCAACTCAATTTCTTACAACTGCTGAGTGATGCAGCTACATGGTAAATGATTTCTACAATCTGACTTTCACTGAAAATGCACTTGTATTCTCCATGGTCAGTTCCCCAAAAATGTGGCATCTAATTCCTAATCCTTACTCTGTGATTGTACAGAACAGTCGAAGTGTATGTATAAAAATGGAGGGTTATGTAAAAACATGGAGGCATATGTACAAACATGCTCCTGCACTCATGACTCTGGATTTTGAGAATATGAACACCTGAGAACACACTGACAAGGCAGAGAAGTTTGCAGAACTCCACAGAACAAGTTTCGCACTTCCAAGTGTTGCTTCCACGGAGGGAAGGGAACTGCTGACGAATTCCCTCGGGGTTCTGGGTTGACTTCTGCTCCTAAACCCACAGAAATGCCCTGGGAATCAAACCACCAAGAGGAATCCCTGCCTCCTCACTGATTTATCTGAGAACTCTGGTTATGAAGGAGGAGAAGGAGTTCCCTCATCTCAGACCTTCTCTTGACACTGCAAGGCTGGTTAAACCCTCAGGAGCAACAGCTCCGTGCCCCAGGCTGGCTGAGGGAGCAGGATGGGTCCCACTGCCTCAGAGGGCAGGGCAGGACCTGTCCCAATAGCAAGAGCTGAGGGAGAAACAGGCCTCTTCCATCAGGGCAACACTTCTGGAAAATGAAGAAATCCCAGTGTCTCTCTTGGGACGAAACACCAGCAGGATGGACCCCAGGGAGGTCAGGGTGTGCAAGACTGCAGACAACCACCTCATGGACACAGAGCCAGAGACAGGCTCCTGCCTTCACTGACCAAATGTGCCATTCCATAGGGTTTGAGGAGCAGAACATCGTCCTCTGCTTCCAAGTTCTCACTAACCTTCAGGATGGTTTCATGTTTTACTTCCGTCACTGTTAATGATCTCTAGAAAGTTAACTTAAACTCCTGACTAATTTTGGGGCGGTGTTATTTTGAGGATTTGATGGAATTTTAATTAATTTACAAGGATAAAATTACTAAACTGAATTGTTTTCTCTTGTCACCTCATCGCCACCGGCCGTCAGCTTTGTCAGCCATTCCTCTTGTCAGAGCCCTGCTCACGAGGGCTCAAGGACAAGAAGGAAGAAAAATCCTTCTCCAGCCATAAAGAACCTTTCACGTAACCTCAGCGATTCCACAGCCAGTTTCATCCTGGTCCGGCTCAGAGATACCAAGTACAAACTTTCTATTCTCTGACAGCAGAGTAAACCAGCCTTTGGGGATGGGGTTCTGGACCCCCGGGTGTGCCCTTGTTCTGCATGGCAGAGAAACGTGGATTCTGCCTCCTCCCCTCCTACATTATCAGCAGGGGTTCATAAGTAAGGAATAACAAAGTAGTGGAAAGAAATGCAAAGGTCCTTAAAAAACAGAGATGAAAAGCCAAGGAGGCTGCTGTAAATCAGGCACAGGGAACAGATGGCTGCAAGCCCAAAAGTGCTTGCAGAGCTGGGGGCACATTTTCTTATAAAACGCTAAGTTTTGCTACAAGGTGGAAGGAAATAAAAAATCCTACATGACAGCCAACTGCAGTATCCTGCTCCTAGGCCCACTCCTCACGTCCTGCTTGCCTCCTTTGTACAAGACCCTCGTTTTCCTTCTTTTGACTCTAGTTCCTTCACTTTTTTTTTTCCAAACAGGCTGCATTTTTGCTGTCCTCTTGGACCTCTCCCAGCTTCTCTCCTACTAGATTCCCACCACGATACCCCCTGGGCTCCGTCCCTGTCCCTGCTTTCCTTCCAAGAGGCTGTTCATGGACACAGTGTCCACAAGGAACAGGAATTCAAAGTGCCTCCCACCCTGCCCAAGCTGGCGGCCATGCATTGTCCTTCCCAAAGGAAGGAGGGAGGAGGACTGGGGTCACCACACGGCAGTGGCACAGGGACCTACCAGCAGCGGTGACCAGCAGGCCGAGAGGACACACATGATGCCAAGGAGCTGGATCAGCGTCTCCATGGTGATCCGTCCCCACTGCTTGCTGGAGTGCGCCTCGGTGGCCTTGGTGCGGCAGCGGGACACCAGTGCCTCGATGGTGGCCAGGTTACAGGCCACGGTCACCACGAGGGACAGCAGCCCCAGCACGGCGAAGGTGGCGGCGAAGACGGTGCTGCCACCGGGGCGGCCATCGCCGGTGCTGATGAAGCACCATGTGCCGGGCCACTGCAGCGTGTACTGTCCGAGCCCGGCCACGGGCAGCAGGGCAAAAGCAACCACAGCAGCCCAGATGGCGAGCAGGCCGCCCTTGGTGAGCCGCGGGTTCATGTGGCTGGCGTACCAGTGCGGCGCCCGGATGGCCAGTGCCCGCTCCACGGCCATGGCGCTGGCGATGAGCAGCGGGCAGAGCCCGAACACCGTCATGCTGAAGCCGAAGAAGACGCAGAGGTGCCCCGAGGGGTCCACGGCCTCCCAGGTGCGGTTGGCCAGGTAGACGGAGATGACGATGGGGCTGGTGAGCAGCTGGCCCAGCATGTCGGTAAGAGCCAGGGAGCCGATGCACAGCAGGAACGATCTCTTCCTGCGGCTGCCCTTGGCGCGGTAGCTGCGGGACACGAGCAGCATGGCCAGGGCATTGCCCACCATGCCCGTGATCATCATAGTCAGCGGGATGGCCACGGACACGGTGCCGCAGCCCTCAGCCGCCCGCCCCATCCCGCTGCCTCGCTGCCCCACGGCGCCAGGCTCGGTGGCGTTGGGAACGGGCTCGCACTGCTGCCAGGGGCTCATCCCGGCGCCGACGAGCCGAAGCACCGGGCATAGAGCCGGGCAGGGAGCCGGGAGCCGGGGAGAAAAGCGGGCGGACACGTTATAAGGGGAGGCGGCTCGACCCGCCCTAAGGCGGCTCCGCTCGGTCCCGCCCCGCCCCTCCGAGCGAGCCGTCTCAGCCCCGGGCGGGAGCGAGTCACACCACAAACCGCAAACTGAGGGGCTGGAGCGCGTCCAGAGAAGGGAACAGAGCTAGGGAATGGTCTGGAGCACCAGGAGCTGCTGAGGAAGCTGGAAAGGCTCAGCCTGGAGAGAAGGAGGCTCAGGGGGGACCTTCTCTCTTCTCTGCAACTCCCTGACAGGAGAGTGGAGCCAGGTGAGGGTCGGGCTCTGCTTCCAGGGAACAAGGGAGAGGACAAGAGGAAACGGCCTCGAGCTGTGCCAGGGGAGATTCAGGTTGGATATTGGGAAAGCCGAAGCAAGACGCTTACAGAGAATGGGACTTCCATCCCCTCCCCTGACAGCCCACAGAGTTCAGGCAATGCCAGAGTCCATCAATCAGTGCTTGGATTTTCAAAATTTACTTTTTAAGAAGGCTTTTCTGATACCTGAATGAAAGACACCAGGTATCCAAGAATCCCAGACTGGTTAGGATTGGGAAGGACCTTAACACACAGCCAGTTCTGCTCCCTGCCATGGGCAGGGACACCTTCCACTAGGCCAGGTTGCTCCAAGCCCCATCCAACTTGGCCTTGAACACTTTCAGGGATGGGGCAGCAGTGACTTGGAGGATTCTTACAAGTGAGGGACGGACTGAACCTTATTCTGGCATTTCATCCATTTAGGCTGGATATCAGGAAAAGGTTCTTCCCCCAAAGGGTGGTCAGACACTGAACAGGTTCCCCAGGGCAGTGGTCACAGCACCAAGGCTACCAGAGCTCAAGGAGTGTTCAGACAATGCTCTCAGGGACAGGGTAGGATTGCTAGGGTGTCTGAAGCAGGGCCAGAAGTTGGACTGGATGATCCTTGTGGGTCCCTCCCAACTCAAGATATTCCATGTTTCTATGGAAACACCTTGGAGCTTTGTAAAAGCTCAGTTTGAACATGCCGCTGTTGAAATCCAAAGATATTTTCAGTAAAGAACTGAACCGATCTGAAAACATGTGATCTATTGGCCAGCTAAGTGGGACTCCAGCCATGGAGTCTCTCCCAGTGCAGGTAACAAGCAGTGTGTGTGTGTCCCCAAGACAAAGCACTCGCTGCACACTTGACTCACAGGTTTTATTTACACTTGTCTACAGCATCATTTTGCCTTACACATTCTCTAAGCCAAGTGAACCAATTGTTCTCCTTTGCCTGTGGCCTATGAGTTGCTAACTTTAAAACCCCTCATCTGTTAAGTACAGCAACAATTGGAATACAAAGCACAAGAAAACCCCAATGCTAACAACAGAGCGTCTACTTGATCTGGGTTGTACACTTTAGTAGTTGGACGTTGAAGTCAGAGGCACAGTTACAGACTAATCTGCTCTTGTGCAACCTACACACATTTAGCATCAAAATTAGAGAGGAAAGAAAGCATTAAAGAAACTGCATTTTTTTCTGCAAAAAGATTATCAAAATACTTCTACACAAAAAACATTTCGCTTCTAGACCAGTCCAAAAGACATGTCTAAAAAAAAAAAAAAACAAAAAGGAAAAAAAGCAGAATGGAGTTTTTAAATGTTGCTCCGTTTGTTTCTGTGGAGTTTACTGAAAAAAGCAGCAAACCTGGGTTTGAAAGTTTTACTACTGAAATAAATGCAAATATATTGCTCTTTGTTTGCTTAATAAGAATTTTCCTCACCATACTTACCTTGTGATGGCACTGAAGACTTAAATCTTTCTTAACCAAACGGAGCTCAAGAGAGACCAAGTTCTATACTAAAATGGATTCCACAAAGCATTTTAAGCCATAAATTATGTTGCAGGAAAAAAGAATGATTGATGAAGAACATATTTAAGATGCCAGAACTTTTACACAGTTTATTCACTCTCATTTTTTGAAAGAAAAATAAAATTGAGATACCTTGAAAATTTTAGTCAGCCCCAAAGGAATTTTACAGGTGGCCTGCGGAAGTTTCCCTTGATTCCAAGGAGCTAGTTCCAAACTCCTCCATGGCAGGAGCAGATCCAAATGATCCATTTGTAAAAGGATCATGGAGTCCAGGGTCAGGAAACCACCACAGCCAACAGGCCCTTTGCTGGCTGCAGCAAAAAACATCTATCTCCAACATCCTCGCTTCCCAGGAATGAAGGCTAATTCCCTCTATGGAATCATGATGGACTGGGGGGTCTAAGAGCTGCTTTCCACTGAGCATTGCTAGAGAGGGGTGTCCATCTACACTGGTACTTCAACATGGAACAAGAACAAATCTTAGCCCTAAGCCCTCATACTGACCCCAGGTGACTCCAGCCCTACCCTGTGCTGTGGTCCCATGGGAGCTCCATCACGTGCTCTGGAGGCGGCTGCACAAAGCTCAGGGTGTCCTCCTCCCACGGCTTTAGTCCAGGAGCAGAGTGGGACCAGGACATTCCCAACCTGCTCCTACATCTGAGGGAGCCAGAAATGGAGGAACTGATCTTTAAAAATAATAACCACCCCCCACTCACACCACAGAACCTCCCGCCTCCGCCAGGGAAGTTTATGGCTTAAAATGCTACCTCACGTTTTGGGTCATGGATGAACAAAGCTGCAGTTTGCCAGAAAGCAAGGACAGACATGCACCTCTACTAGCAGATTTAGCACTTCTGACCAAGTAAGACACCAACTTCTTAAAAATGTCTCATGCACTGACTGGAATTTTGGTGGGTTTTTTTGTAAATGTGAGCTTTAATACATTATTTCTTTTTAGAACTTGTACGGGAACCAGAATGGGAGGATCCGGAGGATGATCTGCGGCGTCTGCAAGATACAAATGGAGAAAGCATGCAAAGAAATAAGTGGAAATGAATTTTGGCATCTACTCTGAGCAGTCTGTATCCTACAATAGCTGGAAGCCAAGTATATCTGATAGGGGCCTTATCAAGTAACTTTAAGCCACTAATTTAATACTAGAAGTCTAAGTTTAATACTGAGAGTAGAATACAATTTCTAAATGCAGTATTTACTTATGAAAATAATTCAATAATATACACAGTAACACTTTCACACACTGAAAGAAGGGTGAGCCAAGTCTTTCTATGGAACATGCTCCTACCAGGAGGAATTTCTTTGGAGGGGGGGAAAGATAATTAAAAAAAACCAAAACAATTACAGAGGGTTTAACAGGAAGTAAAGAGTAGGGAAGTGAGAAAACTACTTTTACTATCAGAATAACTGATCAGATTCAATTCCTTCCCAGTGAATCTCAGTCCTTCAGAATAAATAAAATAAAAAATCACACATTTCAATACACCCATTCTTATTCTACATAAACCCAAACCTTTCGGGTGACCGTGATCTCGATCGTCTTTTTTTGCGATCACCAGATGAAGAGGATCTAGAGCGGCTTCTCTTCTTGCCTCTCTCGGGGGAGGATGAGGAGCGAGAGCTTGAGTAAGATCTTTTCCTTGGGGTGGAAGACCCCCTGTAGGACCTGGAGCTGGATCTTTATTGATTAAGAAATAAATCAGATTTAATTCTGGTATCACAGGGAAAGCACAAAGAAAGAACAGACAGAGACAGTTTTCATGAACATTCACTACTCTACATCAGTGCTCTGTAAAGCAAATGGGTGGGGCTTCCATACTTACTCCTGAGTTCTGCCAATAAAAATTCTTCTGCCAGGTAGTTTTCTGAATAAATTTTGCTAAAGAGTGTTTCTTGATAAATAGGCCATCAATGGTTTGGAAAGCTTTTCTCAGCATTCATCAAAATGACCCATTTTGACAAAAAAGCATTGGGAGGCTGGGCCAGGAAATTGCCTCTGTGAGGACCTTCCCCAGCAGTTAAATTCACAAAGCAAAAAAACCAAAAACCCAGACATCTAAAGCTCATTTAGTCCTGTTTCATTTCATATCTTAATGGATATTTCACACTGGAGATTTGACTAAAACAGTAAAAAAATCAGAAAGTATATTTACAAATCTCAGAATAAATCTGTGTAGAGATTGAAATATTCCTCCACCAAAATAATGTAAAAAGCCTTTTAGAATATAGTCAAAATATTTAAAAAAATCTCTCAGAATACAGTAATTTTGACATAAAAAAAATTAAAATGAACCATCTTCACTTACTGCACTCAAAAATCACTTTGGCTTTAAAAAAAAAAAAAAACAAGAAAAAAACCAGTTGTGGAAAAAAGAAGAGCTAATGAGTCCAAAACTGTCATTTCAAAATGACACAAAATGCCTAAAATGCCAAGCTGATGTGCTGGGGACACGCTATAAATGGCCATGTGGCACCTCAAACAATCCAGTTCAGCTGGGGAGCCCCTTCAGCCTCTAGCGGGGGCACAAGGACCCTCTTCCTCTTCCCGTAAGAATGGATTCCATCCTGTGCTGACCCTCACGATCCACAGCACGCTCCTGCCACCAAAGGGTGGAGGCACCATTTGTGATCCTTCTTCCCAACTCAAGCTTCCTTATTTATAGAGTTTTAGGATTCTCTGCATGCATGGAAAAGGGACAGCTCGTCATCCATCACACAGGGAATGTTCTGCCAATGTGCAAGGACACCTCCAGTGTGCTGTCGTTACTCTGCCCTGCACAGCTCAGTGACAGCTCTACAGAACTCAGCTCTAATCTGCTCTCAGGTCTTCACAGCATTTGCCATCAACCCTTTTACACATCCCCCAAGTTTATAAGGATAACAGCTGCAGTGCCTCGTGGAAGGTATGGAATCAGAACTAAACAACACCACAAGTACATCGCAATTTCTAACTGTCTTCCACACCAAGCAGCCAAAGTGGAAACAATAAAAGCACCCAAAATGCCTGGAGCAGGACCAGAGACTCAAATCCTTCTTCCTCCACACTGCAGATCTGTGGCGTCCGCTCGGCTGGCTTAGGCTAGACTTAACCTCTTCCACCAAAACCT